TGCACCTATATTGTAATGTATTTTTAATAGCATATGTCGTGACTTTTCAAACTAAAACATTTTTATTTTCAATTTTGAACTTTATCACCATTTTGAGATTTTTTATATAATTATTTTCAATTTCTATGTTAGTAATATGTTTTATATAATATTGTGTATTAGGATCACCTATTTCAATAAATACTTTCTTCTTCTTCTTAAAAAAAAAGAACAGATGATGAAAAATGTATGTAAATGGAATTGTGCTACATCAACAAACACATTTCCTAGTCTTCGGAATACAGCTGGAGTAAATCCCATTCAAAAATGAGGTAATCCAATTCAATACAATTTCTTAAAGCTGAATTACTTACATATCAAATAATGTTCAAGATACTGAATTCATGCAATTAGTTTTTAGCTGAAAACTGATCTTTATGATAAAATGTATTTTGCATTGTAGAAATAAAGTGATTTTCACCTCTAATTCCTTTCGTAGGTTACAATATTTGCTTATGAAGAGATTGAACCCGGAATCTTCGACTGCTGGGCAACATTCGAGGAAAACTGGGGAAAAAGTACTTACGTCATATGGTGAGTTCATAGTTCAATATCTAGAGTAATGAATAATCCTCTGAAAATTATTGACCATGAACGTCCTCTTGCTTCGAAAAGGTGTACTTTTGGTTTGAAATAAGCGGGAATTATGAAGTAATCGACAATCATTAAAAAGAACTGAAAAATAATAACCAAACACCAATTTTGTAATAGGAACTCTTGTCCAGCGTTATTCGGACGTAATCAATAATGACGCATAATACTCATGCTGCAACTAATTTATTATTCAGCTCCTACTGTTCTGGTCGATCACAAAAAACCCAAAGAGTAATTTTCAGCTATGAACAGGATGAACAAGAATTCACCCCACTAGAGAAATAAATCGACATTCAGCTATGGAAACCACTGTTGGACGATTTGATGTAAACGTGTTTGTTTTGATAGAGCAGTCAGACATTTTTAACTATATTTCAGTAACTCAAAACCTGAGAGTCTACAAAAAATCATCAATCATCTATAGAAGAAGAGTTCGTCAGTTACATTACTGATTAAAAAGTATTTGTTTTCCAGAAACATTTTCAAGTTCCGAGATGAAGAAGATTCCTATACCTTTGGAAACAAAACTTTCTTAAACCTATACATAAATCAGAAGCAAAAGATGATATTAACAATTACAGAGCTGTTTGCACCCAATCAGAAATACCCAAACTTTTTGACTTTTTAGTAAACAGGCATATGACTTGGCAATGCAAAAGTCTAATATCTCCACAGCAACATAGATTTGTTGCTAATAAATCAACTGTGACAAACCTACTTGTTCATGAAAATTACATATTAGGTGCTTTGAAGAAAAGATTACAGGTCGACTCTATCTATACAGATTTTTCAAAAGCATTTAAGACCCTATTAAATGCCAAGGTTTGCTTATCGCCAAACTGTCTTCGTTAGGTTTTTATGGACCAATCTTGCAATGGATCCAGAGTTGTTTCTTATCTGGTAGAAGCCATATAGTAAAAATGGGAGGCTGTGTATCATCCACAATTCCTTTTCCTTCGGGTGTTCCTCAGGGTTCCCACTTTGGACCTTTGCTATTCAACATATTTATTAATGAGCTAGCTACAATTAATGAATATAGTGAGGTACTGATTTTCACTGATTTTCACAAACGATGTCTCACTTTTACAAGAAGATTTGTCACAATTTTGTGTTTGGTGTGTTATGAATCAAATGAATTTGAATATATCCAATTGTTTCTGCCAAACATTTTCTAGAATTATTCACCCAGTTCTACATGACTACAGTATCAATAATATACCATGGATAGTAAATCAGTGATAAAGAACTTAGGAATTATGTTCGATCGTGAATTGAATTTCAAGATGTTGGGCTTCATCAATAGATCATGTGAGGAATTCAGTTTGAACACTCTCAAGTTATTATATTCTTCATTAGTTAAATCATTATTGGAGTACGCTTCAATAATTTGTTGCCCTTATTATGAGATACACATAAACCAAATTGAAGCTGTACAAAACACTTTCCTGGGGATCTGTGCATACACGTTAGGTCTAAGAAGGGGAGAACATGCATACAACAACATTAGAGATGAGATGAATCTATTATCTTTAAAGAATAGAAGAATTATTTTAGATGTATGTTTTTTAAGCAAAATTTCAACTGGCAACATCAACTGTGAGGAGATTTCATCTTTAATTAATTTGAATGTCAACAGACAGACCAGAGCCAGAACTGAAACATTTAAAATACCTTTCCTCTCCACGAATTATGGTTTTTTCTCTCCTGTCACTCGAATGCTCAGAAATGGGAATATGTATCAACAGGTTGATATCTTAAGTAGCTCCACAAATACCATCTGAACTGAGTCGCATTATTTCCTGAAACATTTCCTTTGATTATATTATACTATTTCATCTTTATATTGTTTTCTTTTTGTACTATATATCATATTATTATTTTCGCCTTTCCTACGCAGACTAACTCGCAGTTGCGCCGCTAGCCTTTTTATATGCAATTATTACTGCCATTTCGAAGTGATCGGAATACACTGGCTAGAACCAGAACTTTCTCGAACCAACGCGGTATTTCCAAATATTTAACCACGCCTAAGGTCACCTAGCGGGTAGCTGAAAAAGATAGTACATAGTACCACTACTCGCCACTAGATGTCGTTAAGTGTCACAATACACAATAATAATTGAAATGCAATAAAAGCGTAAGTTTGCTTAGGTCACGCACTTTGCGACTATCCTAGTCTAGAAATATAGTTAAGGGCAGAATTGGCTTCAAGGTTTGGAGACCCCTGATCTAAAGGAACAATTCGTTCAGGCCAGTCTCAACACCCTACACTGTAGGTTAATGAGCTGACACCTATCAGAAAACAACTACTCCCCCTGGCTAATACAACGAAGAACATTGGATTATATCCGACAGGTGTCAGTGCAAGATTCTTCACAGAAGTAATTCTTGCATTTGGTGTTGGCGATACAACTGCCGCAATAGATTCTCAATTATTGGAACACACTTGCAGACTGGTTTCGGGCTGTCAAACAGGTGACAAACCTGTCGTTTGTTGTCCGCTTCAGCTTAGTTCGAGGAATGATACTCTGAAGAAATTCGATTTTCAATTATCGGAAATCGTCTACTTTATATTGATGATAGACACTACCTTGCACTGACGAGTGGCCAAACAGCCCGAAACCGGTCTGCAAGTGTGTTCCAATAATTGAAAATATATAAAGGCCGTTGTATCGCCAACAGCATATATGCAGGAATAACTTCAGTGAAGAATCCTGCACTGACACCTGTCGGGTGTAATACCCTTCGTGGTATTGGTCAGGGGATTAGTTAATTTCTGATAGGTGTCAGTCCAATAACCTACAATGTAGGGAGTTGAGACTGACCTGAACGAATTGTTCCTCCAGTCTTCAAGTATGCCCACTGACTATTTGTGAAAAGATTCCAATTTTAAACTTCAAAATCGTAATTTCGATTATTTTAAAGTCGTGACTTGCACTTCAATTTTGACTCTAAACTCCTAACTTCAACTTGAAAGTCGTCATTTCGGCTTTTAAACTCCAACCTTCAGAGTGTATGTTTACAGTTCAAGTGTAAATTGCAAGTTTTAGTTTTCAGTTTGAGCTAAAAATATCAACAAAGTCGAAATTTTAAATTCAAGCAGCTCTGTCCTAGTAGTTCCATCTATTTCAATTAATTTTCACTGTTTCAGATTTTCTCATATAATTAAATATAAAACTCTTTCGGGGATTTACTTCTCACGAAGCAGGAGCAATAACTTTTGATTATACCATCTGAAATGATGGTGAAACGTCGACTTTCGATGAACTTTCAACAGAGGAATACCCGAAAAACCTGCAAAACGCACGTGTGTATATAACCGAGTGTTGTGCCGCGCTGATAAGGCCAATGAGCTAGAAAAACATATCAGCGATTTAACCCCTTTCGTGGGAGTGTTAGTCCGATACGTCAATGTATCCAGGATTGACGGTTCGAAAGGTGCGAAGAACTGAAAATTCATCAATCTTACTTCAAGACTGTGATTGAGTTCTGCTTGGTGAGAGATGAATGTTTTCAATTTTCGAAAAACAAGTCAACCTTGATAGTGACACGAAAACTATTTTCTTTTTAGGTTACGAGTAATTTGTGTTCACGATACGTCAAAATGTTACTGAGAAAAGTTATTCAGGATATGAAATAATGACTATGGGAATTTTCGGGAATATTTAGCTGATTAAATCTTCATTTTACTAGCCTAAATAAAATGAATTGTATTTATTCAGAAATGTATCGCAAATAACGCTGAGAAGTAGTTTAAATAAATTTATTGTACACGTATTATGAACGGACTGACCACGTTAAAGAAACGCTTCTATAAATTAAAAATGTTTGTGAAAATATTCAATTATTATTATGGATATTATCATACGTAGATTGATGATACCATCATGTTCTGTTATTGTTGGTTCTCCTGTGGGGGCCAAACTGGGTGTTGTTTCAGCAATGTATGTATGAACAACATGCTAGATAGGTCTTGAGAGTATTACTGACCAATTCGTTCTTTCATTAGAAAATATATAAATGGCTCAATAATAGCGTTATCAACGTAATAAGCAACTGCAGCTATGTTCAACAGCTATGAGGTGAGGATGAAAAACATTTCGTCGTACACATGATAATATCATATGAATTGGTATAGAAAACCAATTAGTTCAAGTAAATTCATGAACTATTTGCTTTGTCATGGAGAGTACATTGAGCTAAACTCATTGAAACAAATGAAACACTAGGTGGTTGAATATCCAGGTTACTGAAAGACATCATCACTTCACCTAAGAGCGATTGCAAGTTAGCTCCACAAAGATATGCACTGGATGAACAAGTGAATAAGAAAGGATATTGTATACTACAATTCTAACAGAGGAACAGAATCATGCAGAGTAGTTGTTTCTTGAGATAGCCTTTCTTTCTCAGTCTGACCATTGTCTGAATAGTTTTCTAATGTAAAACAGATATTTCTGATATTCTTCTCAACATTTTATGTTGTATCTGTGATCCATGTAACATCACAAAAAAATATTATGTCGATTATGCTGGCTGAATTTCTTACAAATAGTTGATCATGTTATATTTTTATACATTCTATTACACTTCAGAATCCCTAAAAAACATCCAGTTACAGTCTCCAAAGCCCAAACAGGAGAAGAGTATCTCTTATCCAAGAACTCACCAAAAACTCCTTCACCGTTTTGGGACGTACCCGCTATCAAGCAAATAGTCCCTCTAAACTTACATATTCACCATACCGGACTACCTTCATGTCGTGGTGTGTAAGCTCAAGGGTGCTTTTTATTTTTAATACTACCCTCCTCAAAGAGCAGTACTTTCTGATCAATACCGCATGATAACAAGACAACGTCTCACCATGTGATTGGAAAGTCAAAGATCTCTTCTCTTCAGAGAGACATTTTTCGATGTTTTGCGCTGAGAGATTTTCGTTGATCTTCTTCATCACATTCACCAATTACTTCTTCGACTGAGAAATAGATACTCAGGATACTCAGCCCAAGAATTCTCATCCAGAGTATCCTTGGGCACAACGTACTAATGAAAGCCAACCAGCCATTTACTTGCAGTTTAGCTCCTAGTATAATCATATATATTGCCCAATAGATTTTCACAAATGGTAGAAAAAGCGGGATTGTTTTTCCGGGTATTCATCATCCGTTGCGAGTTCTTCATAAGTCGACGTTTCGCCATCATCATATATGGCAGTATCAAGACTTGTGTCACTGATCCTGCTTCGTATAACACCAGTAACAAAGAAACTTTTTCGGTAAAACTAATTTTCTGAATCACAGATATAACATCCACTAGAGAATTTGAGCCAAACACTAATCCTAGTGAAACGAACGAATTGCTAAATAATTTTTATGCGATTTCAAGTGAATTCAGAAATTCCATTCCGTTTCTCAAAAGTATAATGCAAAATATTTTGTTCCACAGGTACAGCATCTCAATATTCATCATACCACTGATCGTCCTAGTCTACACATACTCATGCATCTGTCGGGAAATCTGGCAAAGTTCAGAATCGAGTTTGAGGCCACGTAGCTCCCAGAAAGCAACCAGTAAAAAAATGCCATTCATATCCAGAGCAAAGATAAATACTGTCAAGCAAACCGTAGCAGTAATCGTAATATATATAATCTGCTCAGCTCCATTCATAATGGCTCAACTCTGGTCCGTTATAGACCCCGAAAATCCTTTTCTAAATGGTGAGTATGGAAAAATTCAGATAGATAAATGAAAAGAAACATAGAAAACAGATAGATAAACGCTAAATAATCTTTGATCATAGATGCAAATCAATATTGAACTAATAAGTCACAAAGAAGGAAATAATACTAGTACATACAATATTATACTCGTATTGTTTAAAGGTGGTTGACAATGTTTAATGCTGCATTGCCGAGCACAAAAAACACACAAAGCGAGGATGAAACAACAAATCGAAATCGGAAATAGCAGAGCATCTTTGGACTCATCAACATAACATCAAGTTGTCCCAAGCTGAAATCATCCACAGGAAGGAACACTAGCTTAGGAGGAAATTAAAAGAAGCCGCATTTATGTTGTCCAACAACGCATTTGGCCAAGTTAGCGTATAAATTCAAAATATGGCAACCCGTAATCAAGTGAAAAACGGCAAACTCCCGCCAAACGGTCAGCTACCGCTTAACTGATGAAGCGGCGTGAGGAAAGAGGGAATAGGTGAAAGCACCTATAAATAGTCATTTCCCGGAGGAATAGGTACATTACCTGAAGATAATCGAAACATCGTGAAATAATTTGGCTTTCTTTCTTTTTACTCAATTTTCAATTTTTTCTTGTATTTCATTTTATTTGTATTTCATTTTAGGGTTTCTTTGATTATTATAGTTGTTATTTTCAGCTATTCATTTCGATGTTATCGATTATTTCAGCGATTTCAAAACATTTTATATCATATTTCAAAATACATTTATAATGTAAAGAATAATAAAAAACAATCAGTATTATGTTTCAACGAAATCAATACATTGAGAATTTATTGATAAATATTCTTCGTTATCTAAGATTTTCGGCAGATGCCACTAACTCATCAAAAAGTACCTTGCTGGGAAAACACAGTCCATGCTTCATAACAATCAAGTTTCAATTTCTCATCAAGTTCTTTCAGGAGTTCTCCAGGGATCCATCATCGATCCGCTCCTTTTTATGATTTATACATCATAATTCCCTTCTAGAATTCAACACGGTTTAGTTCACACCTATGCTGATGATACTCAAATATATATTTATTTTGATGATAACATCTCAAACAATGCTATCAGCTTACTCAACAAAGATCTCAACTCTCTTGCGCATCTATCTGATCAGTATTGTCTGAAAATAAATCCACCCAAGTCGAAAATTTTATTATTTGAAAGATCGGCAGCTAGAAAGAGATGCCTGTCTGAATTGAAGATTGTGACTGGCAATGAGTATGTACCTACCTATAGAGAATAGCACAAAAATTTTGGGAATTTTTATCAACAACACCCTTAGATATTCTTCCCACGTGTCTTTGATTCTGAGAAGAGCGTATAATGGCTTGAGATTGATATACTCAAATAAAAACATTCAGTCTCTCGTGTTATCTCACGCAAACTATTCTGATGTGGTTTTTGGTCCTTCCCTTTTGAAATGTGATAAAATGTGCAAAGATTACAGAACACCTGTGTTCGTCTCATATGCGGCTTACGTAGAAGAGACTATGTAACAAATGCAAATGGATAAGCATGAATAAAAGGAGACCATTACACGCTTGCTGCTTATTCAAAAAATCATAACCAGCAAAAGTCAATCTTATTTATACCATAAAATAAGATTCAGAACGGACTCACATTCGATACGAACCAACGCTAAGTCCACCAAGCCACAGAACAGCTCTCTTCAAAGGTACATTTTCTCATTATGTAAATTAAAAAATACGTTTTTATGAGTCTACTTCAAACTCTAATATCTCAGTGAATACTCATTCAATTCAATCGAAATAAGGGCCATTTGAATCAGTCGGTTTATTCCGTCAGCATAAGAATTGTGTGCTCGGGATTCGATGATATAGACGAAGGCAGTTTTGATTGACGAAGATTTTATCAGTGAGAAAGTTATCGAAGTACTTGAAAAGATGGTAGTCGATAGGCGAGAGGTCTGGGGAGTATGGTGGGTGATCTTGATACCCAACCAACCTTTCTTCAGAATAGTGATAGCGCTGTTTTATCTAGAATATTGTTCCTTAGGAATACTGACACGTGCTATTCCAATATCTTGTGGACATTGTTCATTGCTTAATCCACTAGAAAGGGCAGTTTTTCCCTGTTGTCAATCGTATATGTGAACTCGATATTCAGGAACCGTTTCAGTGGCATATCGACTACATTTCCCTAGAAAGTAACTTGAATATCACGTTTATAAATGAAATTGAAAACAATGAGAAGTTACAAATATCACTTGATTCAGTTACAAGAGGTTAGAACTTGTACTCGTATCTAGCCATCAATATTGTCTACAACGCAATACAGTGTGACTCACTTCTCATGGAAACACCCCCGTATCTTCCGTAATATGCGAGGTAGAACGATGAAACTCTCAAGACTGATGGAAATGCTCAAAATGCACCTACCACCTGAATGGGGTTGGCCAAAGTAATATACACTGTCCGCCACTCGCGATGGAACACCCCATTTTTACAGTAAAACATATCAGGGGGCAAAAAAGGCTCAAAATTCCTTCAGATTCATGATCAGGACTACCAACTTATTATGAATACACTTTTTTCCTGAAAAAATTTCAGTCCTGAAAAATCCGAATTTGTCTCACTTCTTATGGAAACACCCCCGTATCTTCCGTAATATTCGAGGTGGAACGATGAAACTCTCAGGACTGATGGAAATGCTCAAAATGCACGTACCACCTGAATGGGGTTGGCCAAAGTGATATACACTGTTCGCCACTCGCGATGGAACACCACATTTTGTAGGTAAAACATATTACGGTGCAAAATAGTTCGCTTCCTATACCTGAACCCCTTCATTCTATCTGGAGAGTACTCTCAGGTATGAAAGATACAGATGCTGTGAGATGCTATCATAGATGCTATCATCAATTTTGAGCCTATCTGAGGAAAATGTCACAGCACCACATTCTCAGATTGTCGAGATAGTGTGAAGTGAAGTGTATGAAAAATTATCGATGGCGGCATCTATTATAACTGAAGAAGATTATTCGTAAAACTAATTCTGGTTGCTGAACATCCAAATTCTATCCCAACCAGGAGTGAGAGCTCTCGATTGATGAGCAAAAACTGCAAAAAATGGAAAAAATCTATATTCAAAGGTTCACATCTCGAAAACTGTTTAATTCTGCTGATCAAGCTGATCCTAGAATTAGTTTGAGAAACTAAACTTCAACTCAATAGGAGCCGCAGTAAAATATGGAGATGTTTAAAGAGGCATAAAATGCATGCGTTCAAACCCAAATTTTTACATACTTTGCACGAAGGAGATGAAATCCGCCGTATGGAGTATTGTTTATGGATGCAGGGAAATTATCTCAATGACAGGAATTTTTTAAAGTATATCTTATACAGTGATGAAGCTACCTTTACCACGAATGGTGTTGTATCTTCCCAGAACATGAGGTTTTGGGCTGAACAAAATCCAAATCGTTTTTGAGCATTTCCATCAGTCCTGAGAGTTTCATCGTTCCACCTCGAATATTACGGAAGATACGGGGGTGTTTCCATGAGAAGTGAGACAAATTCAGATTTTTCAAGACTGAAATTTTTTCAGGAAAAAAGTGTAATCGTAGTAAGTTGATAGTCCTGATCATGAATCTGAAGGAATTTTGAGCCTATTTTGCCGCCTAATATGTTTTACCGTAAAAAATGGGGTGTTTCATCGTTCTACCTCGAATATTACGGAAGATACGGGGGTGTTTCCATGAGAAGTGAGACACACTGTATGTATATTCAATCTGATCCTCTAACGGTTTTGTTTGGTAATATGTTAAAATTACAAAAATATTATCAATTATGGTTTGTAGCTTTCTTTCACTAAATTGGGAACTAAATTAAGGATGAAATTTGCCATTAAGAAGAGGGCCGGCTCCTTCTGTAGATTTATGGCAACGGATTACAATAAATTAGATCGCTCGCTCTTATATGTTCGTGAATAGATTGAAAAAAAACTAATTATTTGACTTTCCTTGAAAATGTGGCACTGGAAATTTCAAGAGAGATTCTCAGATTGATCTACTTTTCTGCATTTCCAACACCATGCCAGAATATTTCCACAGTTAGATTGAAAGTCTTTCAAATCTAGAACAAATTAAATTTCTATGTTATTTTTAAAAATAATCCTCATATACGTCAACTTTCATTCGTTAAATTGCAAATTATGGTCGTAGGTGAGGATTGATGCCTAACCACGTCAAGCGAATTATTCGTTGAACTATTTCAAGTGCTATGTTGACACGCCATAGACCTCATCAGTGGTACTAGGTTGAACCATGACTGCATTGCTGGACCTAACTGCCGACAGAGTACTGCTACAGATCTGGTTCTGAGAATAGAATCTTATCACCGAAGTGACGTTTGATTTTTTCTTTCGATATCGATGCTTTCGGTGTCAGTGGTACTGTCACTCCTCGACCACTTCTGGTTCTCCGAGCCAGGGTCTCTATACCTGTGATAGAAACATTTATACATGTTATCAACGTTCTCAATCAAAATGTATCATCAATACCAACTTGAATCAAGTGGTTCACCTGTGTTATATTTAAATGTATCGTATGCATGGTTAACAATAAGCTAGATAGTGTCCAATTTGTATCAAATAGCTCTTGGCCTCAAAGCATCTATATACATTTTACAACTTTCATCGATGTGGTTATTCACGTGTAATGGAAAAATATGTTCTAAAGCAACATTTCTTCCTTGATTTACGATTAACTAGACTTGTGTTACCCAATAAAATAGTAAAAATGTCAATGACAATATCTTACTGAATTTCACAAATTGTAAACCAGTTTCAGAATAAGTTTATTTACTTATAGTACCATAACCACCTTATTTCCGTAAGAAGTTAGTTTACTAATCTCAAAATTTTACATGTCATATAATTGTTTTGCATTCTATACACACGCCGTTTACATTTTCGAATGGAAGGGGTGGAATTCTAACTTTTTTGTTGAGAAATCGTTTAAACAGCTTTCTGTCAACCATGTAATTCACTATATTCCAGCCTATCATGTAAGAACATGAATGATTGATCGTTGTTACATAGACTTTCATGATTTTTTTTCTCTTATCTAAGGTTCGGTCATCACGATCATCATGCTGCTATACAGCCTCAATAGTTGTGTCAACCCTTGGATATATCTGACCTTCAACAGGGAGCTACCAAGGCTGCTGCTACGACATTATACAGCATCTACCAAGAATTACAGACCAGCTGCAGGGGGTGCAATATTACTGAGAAGTAGGTATATTTTATAAATTCATAGATTAAGGGCAACCGCACACTACAGACTTTTTATCGGCTGATAGTTTAGTCTGATTGGGTTGGGTGGGGGCACACTACTCAAACAAAACTATTCGGTTCGGTGCGGGTGCGCAGACCACCAACTGAAAAGTCTGAACAGTTGTTGATGTATATAATATTTTGGTGCGTTGTATTGAAAGTATTGAAGAATGTTATCGAGGAAAGCTTGTTTTCTTATGTCTTCAGCATCCATTTCACCCTATGCAGGAACAACAATTGCACAAACCTCATCCCGTAGTTTCTTTTTAATATCAACATCGGAATATTCTTCAAATGCTTTATTATATTCAAATATATTCAAACATAAAGTAGGTACTAGATAATATTTGATATCAGATATCAACAATGTAATACAGAGTGGGGAGTCTGCAGGCACCGACTGTTCAGTTGATGAGTCTGCGCACTCTCATAAAGACACAGTCTGATTAGAACTCGACCGATAGTTGTCCAACTTTGTAATTGAAGCAGAATTGGGAAGCCTATCCAACTTGTTTCTGATTATTCAGTCGGCCGACTGGATTCGCTTTGATGTGCTAGCTCACATTACGATTCTTTACTAATAAGCATCCAACTAAACTATCGGCCGATAAAAAGTCTGTATTGTGCGCTTGCCCTAAGTATGTTTGACAGAATTGTGTGGAAGTTTTGAAATCGATTGTTTCAAGTTTCTTGTGTGAAATCAGTTACTGCAAAATAGAAATTAACAGTATCATGACATGACTCATAATCCCATTGAGAATATCCATAATCGTTCGAGTGAACAACAAAAAACCCTTTTTTGTACAACTGCCAAAAAACTTGACATTTCTGCATCTCTATTGATACGCAAATGTTTTATTTTTTTACGCTGCCAAAATAATTCACAAAATAAACATGAAATATCACTTTTTAAAAGATTTTCTAACAGAGTAAATTATTAATCGACCATTCATCATAACACAATTTAATTCATTGAAATAATAATTGATAGTGAAGTTTAAACAATTACATTGCTGCTGATTAGAAACGTTAGATATTTCTTGAAGAGTTGATTCCACAACTTTATCAGATATTCCAACTTGTTTGGAAGGAAATGGGCAATTCAATTTTTTTTTAGAAATCTCAATTTTGTTTTTCAAACTATCTTCTATATACAGGGTGGCCTATATAAAACTCCGCAGGCAAATATCTGAAAAATGGAGAAGAATATCTATATTTCGTGAAAGCAGATAATTTTGGTGTCAAAGGGTCCTCTTATTTACGTCGTGACACCGACGCCAATTTTTTTCAATGGTAAACCAGTATTTTCAATTAGTTTTTGAATTCTGCATTATATTCTGAATTCAGCCATATAGCACACTCGTATTATCCTTGAATACTGATGAAACAAGCCAATTTTATTTCGTATTATAAAGAGACCCATTAATAAGTCAAAATAAATGCAATAATGTATTTATCGATCTGTTAGAAGACCTGTCAGATTTGACGAAATTGTATTCAGTTTTGTGTTGGTTTTTCATAAAATTGAAAAATGGTTCAATTTTCGAATGCAGAAAAGTTGGATATGATANCCTCTTTTTATTAGATGGGAATCCTGATTTCTTTTAATTTTCTGGTAGACGACATCTCATAATAGTTTTTGTGACGTTTCCTTTCCAGTAACTCCCATAGTATGATTTTTCAAGTCATATATTTTTCCATTGAAATACACAAATTTTCAAATTTCTCATTGTTACAACTTCTTTCAGTTATCAGTACTGGCAAAAGTGGTTAGTAAGCAGTCAACAGTTTGTCAATTCTTTCTAATGTAAAACAGATATTTCTGATATTCTTCTCAACATTTTATGTTGTATCTGTGATCCATGTAACATCACAAAAAAATATTATGTCGATTGTGCTGGCTGAATTTCTTACAAATAGTTGATCGTGTTATATTTTTATACATTCTATTACACTTCAGAATCCCTGAGAAACATCCAGTTACAGTCTCCAAAGCTCAAACAGAGTATTTTTTGTTTCCGACTGCAATGCCTACTTCAATGACATTCTATTTCTCTTCTTAGCCAGTTATTGAGGCGTTGAAGATCAATTAAGCCTTACCAGTCCTTTGTGAAGGATAAAGCTCAAGAACTGAACACTTTTCACCGTCATACGTGAATACCGCCCCAAAGGGCAGTAGTGGTATTTCAACCCATTGCACATGTCTCAAGATCTCTTTCGTTTTGGGACCTACCCGCTATCAAGCAAATAGTCCCTCTAAACTTACATATCCACCACACCGGACTACCGTCATGTCTGACCATCGGACTTATCCGATATTGGTCAAAGCAAAGTCGTGGTGTGTAAGCTCAAGGGTGCTTTTCATTTTTAATACTACCCTCCTCAAAGAGCAGTACTTTCTGATCAATACCGCATGATAAGAGGACAACGTCTCACCATGTGCGCAGTGATTGGAAAGTCAAAGATATCTTCTCTACAGAGGAATATTTTTCGATGTTTTGCGCTGAGAGATTTTCGTTGATCTTCTTCATCACATTCACCAATTACTTCTTGGACTGAGAAATAGATACTCAGGATACTCAGCCCAAGAATTCTCATCCAGAGTATCTTTGGGTACAACGTACTAATGAAAGCCAATCAGCCATTCACTTGCAGTTTAGCTGCTGTATAATCATATATATATATGGTAGAAAAAGCGGGATTGTTTTTCCGGGTATTCATCATCCGTTGCGAGTTCTTCATAAGTCGACGTTTCGCCATCATCACAGATGGCAGTATCGAGACTTGTCACTGATCCTGCTTCGTGTAACACTAGTAACAAAGAAAGTTTTTCGGTAAAACTAATTTTCTGAATCACAGATATAACATCCACTAGAGAATTTGAGCCAAACACTAATCCTAGTGAAACGAACGAATTGCTAAATAATTTTTATGCGATTTCAAGTGAATTCAGAAATTCCATTCCGTTTCTCAAAAGTATAATGCAAAATATTTCATTCCACAGGTACAGCATCTCAATATTCATTATACCACTGATCGTCCTAGTCTACACATACTCATGCATCTGTCGGGAAATCTGGAAAAGTTCAGAATCGAGTTTGAGGCCACGTAGCTCCCAGAAAGCAACCAGTAAAAAAATGCCATTCATATCCAGAGCAAAGATAAATACTGTCAAGCAAACCGTAGCAGTAATCGTAATATATATAATCTGCTCAGCTCCATTCATAATGGCTCAACTCTGGTCCATTATAGACCCTGAAAATCCTTTTCTAAATGGTGAGTATGGAAAAATTCAGATAGATAAATGAAAAGAAACATAGAAAACAGATAGATAAACGCTAAATAATCTTTGATCATAGATGCAAATCAATATTGAACTAATAAGTCACAAAGAAGGAAATAATACTAGTACATACAATATTATACTCGTATTGTTTAAAGGTGGTTGACAATGTTTAATGCTGCATTGCCGAGCACAAAAAACACACAAAGCGAGGATGAAACAACAAATCGAAATCGGAAATAGCAGAGCATCTTTGGACTCATCAACATAACATCAAGTTGTCCCAAGCTGAAATCNTATTTTTTATATACTCTGGTAGCATATTACGTAGGCGAGGTCCAAGATAATCTGAACATCGTTGTCCAATTGCTTTTTTCGATCTAGGTATCTTGTTTTGCTTGTTTCTGGTACTATAATTGTGATCGACAGATTCAAGTTGTATTTTATTGTTTTTCAGCGCCTATAATCTTCATAACAACTCACTTTTAATCTACCTGTAAAATCTAATGATAAAATCTGATTGCATTTTCATGTACAAGATTGTTGAGGAAAATATTTTCGACGCTTCTAAAAACAAAAACAAATTGATTGTTGGTCTGATGGAATTTCTAGTATTATTTGTTGAAGATTGTGTCACTTCATTGATGAGCTCTTGTTATATTCATTCAGTCGATACTATACTTTAATTCCAAAATAGTAGGCAATTAATTCTCAGAAATGACTGACGTTTCTGCCTCAATGTGTCTATTGCAGTGGCGTATGGAAATTATAATTTATTTGCAGATTTAATTTCCTGAAAACAAACACATTAATATCGATATTTCTAGAAATATTCCTTTTTATCTGCCATATGGCAATTCCAGTTCGGTTGTTAAGTAATGTTTCGTTCATAAAAACGACAAAAAATGAACATCATTGTTCAGTTACAATATTCTTATTTAGTTTTCGGTTTACTGGTAGAAAGGTACCACGTCAACAATCTTTAAAATGGTCAATTCTCGTCCATTGGAAGAAAAAATTGAAGCGATTTTTATTTACGGTGCGACGCGTAACTTTCACGAAAGGATTTTCAATGAACGTTTTCCGAACAGCCCCCAGGTCATCCGTCCATTCCGGAAGAACAGCAAGTACAAATAATTGGTGAGATGGTAGTAAATCCTGAACAGTCTACTTATTCCGTCGCGAATGTTTGTGAGGTGTCTCCTTCCGCTGTGTGGAGACTTTTGAAAAGAAATAGGTATCATCCTTCAAAATTAAAATGGTACACCAATTAACTGAAGATGACCCTGATCAAAGAACAGAATTCTGCGATATCATGACGGAAACCATTGCAAGGCATCCTACACATCTTCACAATACTTGTTTTAGTGACGAATTTACATTTTTTTCAAACGTTTGGGTGGGAATATTGGGAAACCATATTGTAGGACCTCTATTTATCAAAATTCAACAGGAGAACTGTATTTGAATATGCTGTGGAAACTACTTTGACCCTCTCATCACTGAAATCGTCGAAGCGAATCCTAATGAATTCGATATGGATATTGTATTCCAACAAGATGGAGCACCATCACAGTACTACAGACAAATAAGAAACTATTTGGATACTACTTTTCCCGGTCGTTGAATTGGCCAGCCCGCTCACCAGATTTAACTCTTTGGACTTTTTATGGGGATATTTGAAGCAAGAGGTATACGAAACTGAACCTGCTTCAATATTGGATATTCGTCAGAAATTAACAAATATTTGTAGAGATATTGACGTTACTGTGTTCGAAAATGTTCGGCATGAAATATCGGATAGGCTGTTCATATGTCAAGTAGTTCAAGGCAACCATTTCGTGCATCTTCTGAACTGACCTCAAGCTTATTACCTTATATTATGTAGTTAAATATCAATGTATTCAGGCCATTATTAAAAGTTCCGCCATTTTGTAGCAATTGAAAATATTGACATTATATTCTAGGGTTGTGAAGCATTTGTGAGGAGCTCCAAAAAGATATGTCACAAGACCCCCCTTTCCATTTAATCTTTTTTCCCAGATGACGCCCTAAAAGTATCATCTGTCAATTTCACTTCAAAATAAAGTATTCATGTATTAAGTTCATTATCCCAAATTTCAATTTTTTGAGTTGATCAGTTCAAAAAATAAAAGGGGGGACGGGCATTAAAGAAATGCACTATATAGCAGTGGATCAGTAGAATAATACAACCAGTAGGCTTCTTACCACGTGATCCGCCCGAGTTGCCGGGGACCTTCAACCGCTCTTAGGTTGGGATTCTCATCCAACGCGTTCAGTGCTGTAGTATCGAAGGATTCGACGGTACCACGGGCATCGGATTAGTTACAATAAACGGTCGGAATTTGATATTGTGTTCAGTTTAATCGCTGTTGTTATTATGGTTTTCAGTTTTTGTAGTTGGTTATAAATTTACCACAAAATCTTCTAAAATATCCTTCAATTTCGTTTTTGTATGAGCGCACGCCTATTGTGAAAGAACGAAATTGGCTCCGCACTTCGTTTCGAGGTCACCGAGAACTTTGTGAATTTATTAATGAAAGTAGTGGGAGTGGACTTGCTGGTTGATTTTTACTATGGCAGTGGGCTGATTACAGAGATATTAGTAGAAGATCGCAAGTAAGATCGACCTTCACCAATTTGATAACCAGGTGAAAATTATATTTTAATACACAAAATATGTTTGTGAAAAAAATATTCATGGCTATGATCATTGAAAATTATAAAAAATGATTATTCTTTCAGATTTGAGTGTCTTGGTTGCCAAACGACTCATAGTTTAATCGAAAGTATACAACAAATGCTATATGCAGTTGATCGGTTACTTACCTTTTTCTGTTCCCTAATACCTGGTAGCCGCGTACAAACAGATAAATCAATATTAGTGATTGCTCTGATGAATATATATTGAAATGTAAGTAATTTCATTGCGAGTAGAGTAGTATAGGGTTGCTCGTGAAAATATGTTCATAGGTAACGGTAGCCAGGTTTTGTGCTTCCATAACGCGAGAGACGCTTTTAGCTGTCACGAATCAGGAAGTACTACAAAGATGCAATATGTGTATTCTACGTGAAGGGAGGCAGTTCGAACACTTCTGAAATGGTTCTTGTTATCACTAATTGATTTCGTTATCATCATGTTAGTCGAGTTATGGTAAAGTAACATATTTTTTGGTAATTTGAAACATTTATTTTAATTTGTACATAAATACGCAACTAGATAAAATTGAGCAGACAATGAAATCATAACTGATGGATTCATTTTATTAAACTCGTATTATTGCATTCATTTCGACTTATTCATGGCCCTCTTTATAATATGCAATAAAATTGCCTTTTTTCATCGGTTTTCAAGGAAAACTACAAGGATGTTGTATGGCTGAATTCAGAATTTAATGCAGAATCCAAAAACGAATCGGAAAATCTAGGTTACCATTTAAAAAAATTGGCGTCGATGTCGCGATACCCTAATGGATGACGCCTATTGCTGGATCACTTCGCAAATAAGAGGACCCTTTGACATCAAAATCATCTGCCTTTACGAAATATGGATATTCTCTTTCATTTTTCAGATATTTGCCCGCGAAGTTTCATATGGGACACCCTCTATAACTACTTCTGCTACGGAGGCGTGACGTTACCTATATGGATGTAATGTTGCCCCCTGCATTGGCCAGAAGAGTTACAGAGCTTCTCCTGAAACAGTGACCTGTTCAGCTCTTATACATGTCTTTTCCGAGCCATTTTGCAATCGAGCTGGGAATTTCCTCTATATTATTCATCCCCAGATGTTGGTTGATACATTTCCCTCTCGAATATTTCGAAAATAATCTGTTACTTTTCGTATGAGGAGGCCGTAGTGCTCTATACTTGCGGTACATTTCAATATAATCAGAATTTGAAACAGTAAACATTCTTGCGCAATAGGTCTTCGTATCAGGTATTTTAACAATCAATATAGATCTATATGGCATATTCAATGGTATCAATAGTTACCAGCACAGCTACCAGCACCGCTGATACCCAAAATTAGGACAACCTACAAATAAAAAATATTGAAATTACTACTAATCTTACAACATTATGATTATTTCTGTACCTTATAAAATGAATTTGTTTTGTAATCAGCATTTCGAATGAATTTATTGGTATCATCCCTTGATAAAACTTTTAATTTTTTTTCCTCGGTATCGAACGCCTTTGCTTTTTATGAGCCGAACCAGTTTCGTGAATGGTGCAACAAAAAACATCTAAAAAAGTTTTCTGAAAATGTGCGTATATGCTATTTTTAGGAAAAATCAAAAATTATAAAACCTCATACCTCATGGAGTGTATATTCAATGTTGAAAAGTACATTGAAAGTTAAGGAAAATATTGATATAAGGAAGTTTTCAAAATTGGTCCCGGTCATTAAGAACAAAGGCATCGGATACTGAGGAAAGAAATCTAAAGTTTTAACAAAGGATGATATCGAAACAGATTTTTCCTATACGGTACAGATATAATCATAATTTTGTAAGACAATTAGTAATTTCAATATTTTTTATTTGTCCGTTTTCCTAATTTTGGGTATCAGTGGTGCTTGTCGCCGTGAAGAATTATTGCATACAGGGTGTAACATAAGTACGTTGAAATATTCAAGTGACGTATTTCTGAGACAATTACAAGAAAACAATTCTATATGAACTTGTGTCCGTAAATGCTTCGTTTCGGAGATACGGGGTGTTGAAATTGAATTTTTTTTCGCTTTTTGAAACTAACTCTTGCAAAAAATAAGTTATTTGCATGAAATTCGGTACCAGGGGTTTTTTGACGTGGGAAATCATAATTTCATATTAATTTTCATGTAACATCTAGAGGGCGCTGCGTACGCTGTCATTATTTATTTCAAATTGCCCTAACTTTTTTGACAGTAAACTTTTGGTACTTCTCATGAAAAAACCTAATTCCCACACCTTTTCCAAGTAAAAAAGGTACACCTCCTCAACAACACTGGAGGTGATCGTTTTCGAGATATTTACAATTTTCTATATCGATGCATATCACTTTATAGCTAAATTTGATTTCAATAATTTTTGTCACTCTCCGCTTGCAAATTAAGTTAATTAAATCGAGTAGGCTATGAAAGTTTGTTTTCAAAAAATTGAAGTTCACTGTCATATCCTTAACTATTAATTGACAAATTCCCAGTTCGGAGTTTATAAAGTGATTTTTCGGTACCATGCCCGACTTTACGAATGCTGAAATGGCTGATATGGTTTTTGTATACGGCTTAGCTGACGGAAACTCAAGCGAGGCCAGACGCATCTATCAGGAAAGGTATCCCCAACTCGTGACTCCTTGTGCAGCGACTTTCCGAATCTGGGAGCTTTGAAATAAATTCTGCAGTAAGACGGCCACGGACTATAAGAACTGTAGAATTGGAGGAGGCGGTTCTCAAAGAAATCAGTCAACATCCAAAGACAAGTACAAGAAAAATTAGTCAAACTTTAAATGTGAGTCACATGACAGTTTACAGAAATTTAAAGGAACAGCAATTATATCCTTATCATATTCAGCGTGTCCAGGCACTTACGCTACGTGATTTCCAATCATGTATCGAATTTGCTCAATGTCTTCAAAGAAAAGTCGAACAACATCCGCAAATTTTGTCGAAAATCCTCTTTACAGGTGAGGCTAATTTTTCAAGAAATGGTATCATGAACTTCCATACTAACCACATCGGGGCCGAAGATAACCCACATGCGATAACGCAAACTCATTTCCAAGGCAGATTCTCTTTTAATGTATGGGTAGACACGATTGGGGATTATTTAATTGGGCCCTATTTTCTCCCCTTACGTTTGAATGGAGATGCTTACCTACATTTTTTGGAACACGAGCTTCCCCAACCTATGGAAGATGTTCCCATTGATTTCTGAAATCACTCTTGGTTTATGCACGACGGAGCTCCTGCTCATTTTATTGTGATAGGAAGAAATTTTTTAGACGTAGCATATCCCTAACGACAGATAGGAAGAGGAGGCACTGATCATTGGCCCCCGAGGTCACCGGACCTCAATCCCGTCAATTTTTTCTTTTGGAGACACCTAAAATCACTAGTTTATACTAGCCCCATTGAAAACGAGTAAATGTTGAGGGATCGCATCAAAGCTTGCTGCGAAACGATAAACACTCCGGGCATTTTTCAACGGGTGCGGAATTCTTTGATGAAGAGAGCAGAAGCTTGTATTACTGTTGAGGGGTCGTCACTTTGAACAGTTGTTGTAGTAGTTGTTTCGTTCAATTTTTATAGGTTTATTTTCCTAATAAATAACATAGTACTTCTCCGAATTGTTTTTTTTACAAACTCCGAAATGTAGCACTTTCTAATTGAATAATTAAACCTGACAAATATTTTCAATTCAGATTGAACAAGCAATTCGATAATGCTCAGTTTAGAAGAAGTCTGTACCGTTATACTGCGTATAAAGTTTGATGAAAGTAACTAAAATTGCAAAAAAACTTATGACAGAAACCTACCTACCCATAGTTCAAAGGGTTTTCCCCTTTTTTGTTCACTTTATTGTTCCTGATGAATTATTCACTTCTACAATAACCATCGAATGTAATGCTAATTATTTTTTCAGCCCAAAGTCCGAGCAACTCGTCTAATGAAGTACAAACGACATCCCTTCGTCCGTTTTCGCGATGGTCCCGCTGCCCCAATGGCCGGTCTGCATCCAAAACTGCCGCCCGTCCGACTTCCAGGCCTGGCGTAGCCCAACGTAACGCCCAGGGATGGATCGTGACGACGGCCACCTGAAACTCGGAGAAAGGCGACCTCATTCGCCAACCGCCGAAAGTTAACTCAAACGAACAATCAATGCGTCGATGGTGCCAAATCGACGACGACATCTCTGGGTCATCGCTTGTCGAGTTGAGCGAACTCGCCACCGATTATACCGACGTAGAAATTTCCGAATCTGTGATTTGAATAGTTTTAATTGGTTGTTAAGTTAAGGATGGGATATTATGTTTTGAATTAAATGTTTGGTATACGGCTCTGGCTACCCTGTATTTTGTGATATTTCATTCAAAACCAGCTATTGACACCTGTGGTGGAAAGATCCGACTTGCTACCAAGATTTTTCTAGTGCACCTCAAACAAAAAAGTGAATAACTCAGTAAATTTTTATGTCTTTCACACAAAGCATGTACTCCAAGAATGATATAAATGACGTTCAAAATAAATTCAGTTCATCACTATAATATTTCTGTGTTCATATGAAGAGTATCCTGTATTTTCTGTAGAAATTGTGGTATTGAATCCACCAATTCACTTTAAATCAAACGAACTGACTACTCGGTAAACACTGTGGCCAAAATCATCGAAAGACTCGTTAAGAAGAGAATGTTTGACTTTTTGCAGGCGTGTGATATATTGAGCATCAAACAGTTTGGATTTCAGTGCACTAAGAACACAAATGATGCAATTTTTCAATTTTTATATGAAATATATACTGGAATCAATGATGGGGAAGTTGCGGCGGCTGTGTTTTGTGATTTATCGAAAGCTTTTGACTGTGTGAATCATGAGATACTGCTGCGAAAGCTTCACCATTATGGATTTAGAAATAAGGCACATTCATGGTTTACGACATATTTATCTGGCCGCACACAAGTAGTAAAAACAAAAACAATGTCAAGCTTACGTAATATACAATGTGGTGTTCCGCAAGGATCAGTCTTAGGTCCAATTTTGTTTTTACTATATGTCAATGACTTGACGATGCTTGACATTTCAGGAAGTTTCACACTATTCNCTTTTGACAGAATTTGCTATAGGCCCCGCGCTGGCTCAATCCGGCACTGACTCCGTGAGTTTGCTTTTTCTTAAATGACCCTACGATTAGCACAATTAGAGATTGAAAGAAAATAGTAATTATGAATCTTGTGAAAAAGAAATATTTAGTATATTGATTTGATCAATACTATAATATTGTAGAATGGCAAAGCTCAGTCAGACAGTTGACTGAATATTATGAATTTTCCAAAGGTCACAGCTTTTTCAAGTGGAACAAGCATATTGTTAGGCGATATAATACACTCTGGAGTAAGGACAACTTCGTAAAGAATAAACTTTATAAGGTGTAAACAGAGAGGAGTATGTGGAGGTATGAGTTTGTCAAAGGAAACTTCTATATATGAAAATTTTTTAATAAAATGAAAGTTTAGGTGACAAACATTACAAACTAAAAAATATTATTTGATTTGTCCTTATTTTCAATAGACAGAAGACTGTCAGGTTTTCTAAATATTGCCAATGATTAAAAAAATACGGTTCATCTCTTGTCCATAGCTGGCCATACATTTTTCAATAAAATCTAAATTCCTACTTCATTACCTACAATATCCGATAAAATGTCTCTTCAGTTCTATTTCTTTAGGAAAAGACAATATTTCAACTCCATTCACAGTAACGAATAATTTTCGAACACAAAATACAACTCTTCAAGAACAACCAAAGCACAACAGAGTAAACGAATCAGCTTCTTCGAACTCTTCAGTGAAAAACTTTCGATGGTATAAATCGAGGTATATATAAAAGAATATTACAAATTGCAATATAGATCACATCTTCAGACTATAAAAGTATTATCACAAAATTATTCATTAAAATCTGTGCGCCACTTTTCGTTGGCCTCTCTTCTGGCGTCAGGAACCAACTGGTTCCTGACGCCCCCTATGATGTCATGAGTAGCTCCGGTAACGACGATAAGCGGCCTTACCATCGTCGCGGGGATTTCCCTAAGAACTCCGCCAACAGCACCGCTGAGGCCTTTCTGTTCTTTCTCGTGCGCAGCTACTAGAACTATATTTTTGGCTGTCTCTCCGAAACCCTGCAAATGAAAAAATATATATATTCATTTAATATTCCCAAAGGAAGTTTAAATTATTTTGCTCCAATTTTATTGTAACAGCTTTTTTTGCAATGCTCTTCTTCTAAACCTCTGAGTAATATATTTTGAATTACTCTTTTATCACACCCATTTCAGGTATGCACAATGCTTCAATCTTGACTCTTTTATATTTTTATTACATAAACATACAATCACATAAGATGACAGATCAACATAACATTACATTAAATTATAACATTTGTTTCAATAACAAAAGTGTTCATGTCTATAGATCATATATTTTATTTTGCAGCATAAATATCAGATCCTTGTTGTTAACAAAACAAAATCGAATCGGTTCAAACACCAGGCTTTCTATGTATCTTTGGTTGAATGCACATTTGTATGTACTGTGATTCAAGGCATATTCCGAGCCAGTCTTTCCATAATTCATTCCGGAGATACAGTGTATTTCTTTAATGTCCTCCCCTTTTATTTTTTGAACGCAACTCAGGTAATTGAAATTCAGGATAATTAAATTAAAGCATGAATACTTTATTTTGAAGTAAAATTGACTGATGAAACTTTCGAAATTGCGACTGGGCACCATCTGGGAAAAAAATTAAATGGAAAAGGGGTATTGTGACGCATCATTTTGAAGGTCCTAAAAAATAATTCACAACCCTAGAATATGAAGTCAATATCTTCATCTACTACAAAATGGCGGAACATTTAATAATTTCCTGAAGACAAACACATTAATATCGATATTTCTAGAAATATTCCTTTTTATCTGCCATATGGCAATTCCAACTCGATAAGTTTTGTTAAGTTTGGTTGTTAAGTTATTTTTTGTTCATAAAAACGACAAAAAATGAACATCATTGTTCAGTTAAAATATTCTTATTTAGTTTTCGGTTTCACTAGTAGAAAGGTACCACGTCAACAATCTCTAAAATGGTCAATTCTCGTCCATTGGAAACAAAAATTGAAGCGATGTTCATTTACGGTGCAATGCGTAACTTTCACGAGACCGAAAGGATTTTCAATGAACGTTTTCCAAAAAGCCCCCAAGTCATCCGTCCATTCCGGAAGGACAGCAAATACAAATAATTGGTGAGATGTTAGTAAATCCTAAAAATAACCTACATATTAATATATATTCATCGTGGTAAGCAGATGCCGCCATTACTAATATCAATTTAACTGTTTGAGCATATCTGACATTAGTAATGTCCAAATGTTGATCTAACTGTAATGACAAGAGTTATACTGATATTTGTATTGAATAAACTGATTTAAAATGAGTGGGATATTGGTTTTAGTTTCATATTCAATGGAATATGCATAAATACCAATTTTATCTTGAGGACTGAAAAACCTACTTGATTTTGTACCTGCCCGTTAGGTAATGAATAAAAAATGAGAATCTTTCAACTGATAGAATACCCACATTTGAAATATCAGGGAAAAAATCATGGAAATCAATAATCAGGGCAAATGATACCATCAACTAACTACTTGTATTTGATTATACACAAATTAGATCATTTAATTAAATTGAGAGAAACGAAACCACGTCCACCTATGATATAAAATCGTATACAAATTCCAGCGTTGTAGTTTCTGCCTTGAGAACAACTCGAGCACTTCGACCGTTACCTCTTCGCCTTTGATAACGTCAACCGCAGTATTAGACGATACGTCAGACATATAATCCTTCAAACCACGGCCAAAAAAAACGAAAAATAGCTTTGACTCTGAAAAACAATAGTTTTATCTGTTAAACAATAGTTGAACTGAAAAACAATAGTTTTATCTGTTAAACAATAGTTGAACAGAATCATCTTTTCGATATAATGGAAGTCCGAACCTCTACCGTTCAACAAGAAACATTGCAAACATGATCTTCAGTGACTATGACTAAATGAGTATTTATGGTGTATCGGGGCAGTTGCAACTTAGCTCCCGGCTACACTTCATTTTCTATTTTGCGAATAGTTCGCAACAGTTGTACGAAAACGTGGGAGTTCGATACTATTTATTGTTTTGATATTTCCGAATCCAAACTGATGATTATATTTTTTCGACATTCAACTCGGAAATTCCGGCTATGAACTCGGATTGATGTGAATTGGTAAAAGGTCAAATTATACTATGTTGGGTTATTATGAAGAAAACGTCATAAGAAGTGAGGATAAGATTTTTTCATTTCAAACCACGGGAGCCAAGTTCGAACCGTTGCGTCGTCCTATTATTCATGCTGTTGCATGATACCGTTACCGGTATATCAAATATGTCGCCTAACCTAACATTTTACAGTTCCAGTTTGTTGTCAGTTTGTCAGTATGTCATGACATATTCCCGTTTTCAAAACATTTTAAGTTTGAAATATATTTCGGATATATTGGAAAATGAATGTGGGACCGAGATTTGTTAATTTGACTGTGAAAACTTGTCACGAGTGGATTTTGAAATGATTAATGCATGATACTTGGAAAATTTGCAATATTTTGGCGAATTTAAAAATGAGAAATTCAGAAGGTAGGATAATTGACTTTCACCAATGAGAAAGTCTCAATTTGAACCTACTTTTGAACCTATTTATGTTTCAGATTGGCCAAGGAGCTGAAGAAAGGAATTCCTGTGCACAGTGAATTGCAGAATCACTCCAGAACATAGGTTTATAAAAAAATCTTACAATATTACTAGTTGATGAGAAAAATAAGTTTTAAGTTCTGATTGAAATAGTTGTGCTGCATCTTCAGGTAAGTTTATCACACAATATCAAGGAAAGTACCTAGAGGCATTAATCAGGGTGGATTCATGCACATTCATTCATATATCACAAGTTTTAGGTTGTAAGAAATGTATTTTATTGAAAATAACAATTTTGAAATATTTATTTTTGAACGGTACTAAATGTGTCTTCTCCAAGAGCACTCTATCTATCAACTTTTTATTTTCACAAGTGGAAAGGGGAGTCTTGTGTGACACCTCGTCTGAAAGGTCATTCAACTCTATGCTCTCAAATTATCACCCATGTAATTGTAATATAAACCATTGAGAAATTCTACTATTTGCATTGATAATCTACACCAAATTGATGTAAACCATATATAGGTGTGGTTTTTTGCATCGAAAAAATAAAAATGTCTTCAAATTTAGTTATATAATTTTGTGTAAAAAGCGGAATTAAGTGCTCAAAAACACTAGAAATGTTGACAGTGGCATACGGTGATTGTATTCTGAGTAAAAAAATGTATACATGCGGTACAAGCTTTTCACAGAAGGTCGAGAAGATGTGAATGACGACACTAGCCCTGGACGCCCCAACAACCGATGAAAATATTGAGAAAGTGAAAAAAATTGTCGAATCACTATTAAAGAAGTTGCTACATATCAGATGGCTCATGCAATTTTTTTGGAAATTTTGAACATGAAGCGTGTGGCAGCCAAGTTCGTTCCAAAATTGCTGAATTTTAACAAAAAAAAGGGTTGCATGAGCATCGCTCAGGAACTGTTGAATGACGTCAACGGTGATCTAGATTTGCTTAAAAGGATTATAACTGGTCAAAAATCATGGGTATATGGTTATGACATTGAAATCAAATTCCAATCGTCCCAATAGAAGTGCCCAAGAGAGCCAAGACCAAAAAATCATAAGTTTCATCAAATGTCAAGGTTTTGCTCACTGTTTTCTTCAATTACCATGAAGTTGTACATCAGGAATAAGGTGTAACTTGAAGTTATGCATCGCTTGCAAGAAGCAATAAGAAGAAAATGTCCTGTATCCTTAAAAAACAAGTCATGGCTTTTGCATCACGAAAATGCACTTGCTTACTCGTTATTGCTTGTTCGTAACTTGTTTGCCAATAACATGAAAGGACGGCATTTTGCGATGATTGAGGAGATAAAAACAGAATCGAGATAAAAACAGAATCGCTGAGAGAGCTCAAGGACATACCAAAAAGTGCATATCAGAACTCCTTCGAGGATTGGAATAACTGCTGGAGACTACTACTACTACTGCTACTGAGGGGGACTACTTTGAAGGGAACAAAATAAAAATTTTGATGAATAAATAAAAATTTTTGAGAAATATTAAAAAATCACCTTATTTTCTGAACAGTGCATATTTAGACATTAAATTAAATTACTATATTCCAAAACAAAGAATGTAATATCGAGATCACAATTTCAATTGGAGAAAGAAAACAGATCCTCTTTTAATTCCAATATGAGTTTTGTTGCCGGACACATTTTCATTTATTATCTTTAGAACAGATTGGGTAGAAGATCGATGTAGGGTTGCTTCTTTAACTCAAAGTTTAAGTCAATTCCTAATGTATAATATACATCAATCAAACCTAATTTTTTCAAAGTGATTAGGAAGAAATGCTTTTAATAGAAAATGATTTATCTACATATTTATGTTACGATAAACTAGAACTGTATGAGGATGTACTAGTGGATATATTTGATTTTGAGTGGCAGCATCATTATCCCTCAAATGTGACAGTTTCTTAATTTTTGATGGAAGAAAGATTTGAGTAGCTGAAGTGAAAAAACTTTTCGAAGATACCTCTTTTGAAGTATATAGAAGTTTTCATGGAGGATGAAGTAGAAAAAATGTTTAACTTTGTACTTGAAACTTCGGGTTCTATATTTTTATTACAATAATATGCATGACCTTTCAAAGTGGATTCGTATCCAACAGTAGAAAATCATAGTATTTCTTTTTGCTGTTTTTTGGATACCTGAAAACTCTATCTACTATGGATGAATGGTTTCAACAAGTAGGTACAAAACATATTTTAACCATGACTAAAAATCGAATGCAATCCAAAAATAAGCTGAAGAATATATAAATATGTCATACGCTTACGAAACAACATACAATAAAAACTAATTAATACAGTTTATTGTATGATTTTCACTATAAAGGTTTTACATAAACCGCGACACGTGTTTCGCTATACAATAGCTTCCTCAAGCAT